TAACAGGGTGACACCCACAGATTGGGTAGCACTGGTTTCAGCTGTACTTGAGAATTCTTGTCAAATCCAGTGGAAGTCATTAATAAGGGAGGAAGGGAAGCTTCTTGAATGTCAAGCCATTAAGGACGGTTATGACACTCCTCTGGAGAAGATTCTGGGTGAGGGTATTTATACTGACCCACAGGTTCAGGCTGAATATGATGACCATATACTGTCCCTATGCAAGAAAGCAGCACTAAACACCTGGGATAAGTTTCGTGAGCCAGGGGAACGACTGGAAGCTTATACTAAAATAGAACAGGGACCAACAGAACTATTCCAGGACTTCTTAGACCAGTTGACCAGGGCGGTAGAATTACAAGTAACAGATCCGGCAGTAAGATATTCGATTGTGTATACAATAGCTTATGACAAAGCAAACCCAATATGCAAAAGAATACTTTTGCCTTTAAAAATCAGATCAGCGCCAGGTGTTGGTGGTGCATGCCTTTAATCCCAGCACTCGGAAGGCAGAGGCAGGTGGGCCTGGTCTCCAGAGCGAGTGCTAGGATAGGCTCCAAAGCTACACAGAGAAACCCTGACTCGAAAAACCAAAAACCAAAACAAAACAAAACAAAACAAAAATCAGATCAGCTCCGCTAAAAGAATAGGTTTTGCATACAGCCCACATTGACTATAATGTGCAAGATGCTGGAGTCTGGGCAGGAGAAGCTATCCCAAGAGGTTTCAAAAGGCAGCAGGAGATTAAGAGTTCCAGAGATGATGACGGAAGGGCTTGGGAAGGAGAAACACCTTACAGGGATCGATATAGGTACCAAGAGGCCAGGGTTCATCCCTACTATGAACTATGAACCGGGACCTCATGTAGGAAGAACCCACTCCAGAAGACCATGAAAGCGTCAGGAACCTAGATGTTTCAGCTGTGGCAGAATGGGACATATTAAGAGAAATTGTAGACATTGGAATTTTAACAATGCCTCATACAAAAGGCCACCACCTTCGGGATTATGTAGAAGATGTGGTCAGGGCAGACACTGGACCAGCGAATGTAGATCGACCAGAGACATACAAGGAAACCCTTTATAATCGGTGTGCTAGAATCCTCAGAATTTCATTAAAAACACCATGTAAATAGCAAAGGTTTAAAAAAAGATTTTTCCATCACATGGCAACAAGTCAAGGAGATAGTAAAAACTGCCCTACCTGTTCATTCTTTAATCAAGTTCCATTACCAGCAGGCAGTAATCCCAAGGGTATACATAGAAATTAAATTTGGCAAATGTATGTGTTCACTTTCCAGAATTTGGAAATTTAAAATATGTACACCATACTATAGACACATTTTCAGAGTTTCAATGGGCCACTGCTCTTAGCTCTGAAAAGGCCGATTCTGTTATCACACATATTAGAGGTAATGGCCATTATGGGTATACCTGCACAAATAAAAACTTGACAATGATCCAGCAAATGTCTCCAGCAAATTGGAACAGTTTTTCAAATATTGTAACATCAAGCATGTGACCGGGATACCACACAATCCTACAGGACAGGTAGTGGTTGAGAGATCTAATAGAACACTAAAGGAGATGCTCCATAAACAGACTGGGGGAATAAAACCCCCAAATATAGGTTGCATAATGCTTTATTGACACTAAACTTTCTTAATGCCAATGAAAAGGGACAAACAGCTGCAGAAAGACACTGGAC